ATCTGTTGACAATCATTTGCTTTTGTTCCGATAGGAACGATTGTAAATTATGCAGAAAATAAAAAAAAAAATTCAAAAACAAAGCAAATATATTGTTCGTTAAACAACTATATCTAGAATCATCGGCAAAATTTTACCGTCGTCATTTCCGAGACATATTTTTCTGTACATTAGAACGTATGATTAACTGCATGAAGTATCTTCCCAAGATTTTGCCAGACGTTCTAATATCCTGAAGTTGCTACTAAATTGTGGTTTGAAAAACAGAATTCACATTAATTATTTTCGCCAAATCTCCCATCTCTTTTCAAATTTGCGCTACGTGGGAAACCGACGTTCCATTTCCTCAATAACGTTTTAACAAAGTCTATAACAACTCGTACAATTTATATTTTCATATCGAAAAAGCGACCTTAATACTAACCACACACAATTTAATAAAAAAGTTGAGTCATTTTTAAGAATTTTTTTAGAATGTAGTTGAATCTTCATGAAAAAAACTCCCAAAACTGAAAATATTGAAACTGATTCAAATCAGATCCTTGTAATCATTTATATCGATCGGGAATCTCAAGTAAACGGAGACGGCAACTAGAAGAGGCTCACAAGTCATCGGTAAAGTTCCAAGTTCTGCAGCAGAACAAAAACGAAAAGGGTAGGAAATTGCTAAGGCAAGCCCTGGTGGTGCACGACTTCTGATGCGGAAACGACATCGCGAATGCAAACTGAACGCGCATTTGAAGGCAAAGTGAAGGTGCTTGGTTGACTCCGCTGTGACACAGCGGAGGAGTGCGCTCGTGCTAAGGGAATTGAAAAGATTGAAAATGATGATAGTGTGGAAGAATGTAACACGTTTAAATCCACCTCGTCGAAGACTCAACCAGTGTTCGAAAACTGTTAAACAGTGCGCAGAGACTAGGCAATCAGTGAAGAAAAAAAATCAAAAAATGCTGAAGTATATTTTGTGAAATTCTTTGTCGGGTGATGCCCACAATTGCAAAAATATGGGACTTAATGAGCACATTTTATGAAATGTGAAAATTTGAAGAGGTATTTGCAGATAACATCGGACAACACCGCGAGGCTTTGACGCGTGGACAGACCCCAAGTAAATGAGAAGGAGGCATGAAGCTAGGTCGCTACATGACGATATCATTTCAGTCACGTTTGAAGTGGCAATGATGTGGTGGCGATTGGTGTGAAAGAGGATGCAGTTGCGGTGATGACGACGAGGAAGAGATGGACAATAACGCACGAAGAATGACATCGAAAATGTCCATGTGATTTAAAAGGCTTCACAAGGCTATTGCTGAGAATCGTTGTATAAATAAAAAAATAAAGAAATCGTTTTTAGCATTTACTCGATGGTTGTGATTATGCTGCTGATGCTGCTGATACTCTGATTAATAACATGGACTGAATCTTGGCTAACGGAAAGAAGCGTACTCCAAGTTTCGACCGAATATACGATCACTTAGGAGTATAAAACTATTGAGGTGGGTGTTTATTCTGTTGTGTTAAGATGCAAGGAAAAATTGGGATAGTAATGAATTTGAGATAATGGGCAAGTAATTAGTCATTCAGGAATGCCGTAGTAATTGTAAAGAATTTGAGATATTGGGATAGAAATTAGCGAATCAGGATGTATTAAAATTATTGCTTTGGTATAGATCACCGAATAAAAATTACGCGCTTTTGGAACCACTTTGATAATAGAAAACGCCGATAGACATCCTATGGTTATTGCTGGCAATTTAAATATTCAGACGCAAATTTAAAAGGCGCCGTGAGCCGAAGTGAAAAATTACACCAGTTAGGGAACATTAACTCGTCTGAGAAGGGGATTAGCACAGGGTAGCAGATAGACCAACAAGGAAGGAGCGCTGTAGATGTTTACTTTAATTAGGCCGCAAGAGTATTATCTTCACGTCATTGAGGGCATAAGCGACCACAAAGCAGTGTTAGTTGACTTAGACATAAATATTTCACAGAAAAAAATCGTACGGAACACAAATATAGCATTGAAGAGCAAATACAGAGGGCTTCAGTACTACTCAGAGAACAGTGTAATCCTTTTCTAAGATTAGCGGAGCATGGAGGAAATCTGTAACACCTTTAAAAGCATTCTAGCAATGCTTTGCAAACGTTTGGTGCGTGCAAATACTTAAAAAGTAATTCAGATCCAGAATATTACGATGCAAAATCCGACAATTGAAGAGAAAATTATAAACTTATAGTGAAAATCATATGATGCATTTTCACAAGTGCTCAAAACAATTAATGTCAATTAGAGCGGGAAAAGAAAATAGCTCAGGACACATTTTAAAGCACATTCTCGACGTGGAGGGAAATAATTGTAGGGAGTTTTTAAATATGTTCGTAGACGCCAGAAAAAAAAAAAATTTCTGTCATTAGAGATACCTAGAACACGTTTCGTAACTGATGATAAAGAAAAAACAAACGCATTTAATACCAATTTTCTTCATATCCGTTTCCAATATAAAATCTCACCAAATCCAAATATTGAGGGAGACGTACCAAATTAGTTTAATATAGACGTAAATACATCGCGAAAACGAATAAATCTATGAAAATGGAGAATTGCGGGCTAGATGTCATTTCAACAGTCATTAAACTCAGAGGAGAGACAATTTTACCTTATCTAACAATATATTTGTTTTAATCAACAACCAAGGTACGCTGACTATTGGATACTAGCACCGTTCCGATTTTTAAGAATGGTGACTGAACTGTTTTACGCAATTATAGATCAGTAAATCTTACTTAGGTAATGGAACATTTGATAACTAGCTATATTTGACAATTGTATATATATATATATATATATATATATATATATATAATATATATAGTTATATATATAATACTGAATTAACCTTTATTAAAATTTGTTTCCAACATCAATTGAATGTTTTTATTTATTTGATATTCTTTAAGTAAGAACATTTATACATTTTTTTTACAAATAAACACGTTTTTTAACAATTTTCTTCTTAATAGAAAGGATAGGAAAATGGATAGGAAAAGGTGCGATTAACATGCCTGAGTTCTCGCATGGTTTTATGCTGAGTTCTATTATGAAATTAATGCACTTATATCCCCTGCGACTGCTGTTCGATTACTATAGCAACCCATCTATATCGCTCAATTCATTATCCTGCAAGCCAAATAAAATGTAATAAATATATTATATTGTTTATGTTGTCAGGGAAGTATTTTGGCTTGTCACCAAAATTTGGAAAGCAATTTCCATCCGATGAGCAGAATTCAAGAGACCGGCTGCTCTAATCGGTAGGTCCAGTGTATAACGATCAACACCAGCCGAATGTCTAAGCCATTACCCTAAAAAACGAGCTACTGACCGCAGAGGCCGTATTTCCTTCTCTCTGTCATATTCTCATCCCCTTACTTATACACACACTTCCAATCATTACACCACCACATTTGCTGGTTCACCAGTCGACGCCTTAGAACTTGTCCCGTCTAGGTGGTGCCCCACTGGTTGGAGATACCCGGTAGGGGAAAATCCTCTCAAGCCGGGGCTTACGTCGGCGCCGAAATTGACCATCCAGCGGTGGAAGATCACATTCTCCCGCGATAAATCATTCACTACACTTACGGGACTCTCGACCTTAGCATTTATATCCTTTGTATTTGAACCGACCGTAATCATTAATCAAGCGACCTGCCTCAGCCGCAGCATTTCTCGGCATGCGCTTAGTCACGCTGCGTCTAGTAGACCCAAGCTCAAGTTTGTTTTTGGAACGTTCTCTGAATTTATTGGAAGAATGTATTCATGAAAAGAGTTGAAGACTAAATCATTCATTGTAATGTATATCTAATTCATGAAATTATTTTAGGTATATTAAGCACATTTATGTGTGTCTGCTCCTGGTGCTGTACGTGAATTGTACAGAATGGAATGGTTGTGTCGGTACAGATCCCGTCCCAGAATCTTCGAACTGCTACAAAATTCTCTATTCCGTTATTGGATACGAAGCTTGGAAGACCTGTAAACCTCTGAAGTAAGTTAAACGAAACATCATAATATATTATAACCACAGTGTTTAAATTAATGATACTCTGAAAAAATGAGAGAAATACATTTTCAGAGCGATGCATGTGATCGGTCTGTGCCACTGAGCACATGAAACTTTTTAGCCTATTTTTAATTATGAAAAAAGATCTCTTGTCGGTGTATGTATTTATTGCTAAATAATATTGAAATTATAAATTTGTACGTCACTGGGCGACAGTGATTTACCTGCAATTCGTTACCGGAGTAGTCTCCTCAGTGAAGCAGTTTTGTGATGCGAGACCCGGTCCGGGATTTCCTCTCGGTTTACTATGGTTCCATTAACAGCACTTGCCAGATACAATGTAAAGCTACTAGTTTATTGGTCCAATAATTCTGGATCTTATCAATTCCTAATGATTTCCATTTCACCTTGTTTTTCTTCGCTTGTGTCCTAAGAATTTTGAATTTCCACAAGTTCATCTGTGGCATCTACTTCCGATTGTAGCCAACATTAATGTTTAGTGTCGAAACCGCATTCTTTCCAGATTCCAGCCCAAAACGTTTTCATTTCTTCCACTCAGAGCTCTGAGTTTCAGATGGATATTTTGATTATTGATGCTTCTATACATGAAATCTCAACAACTTTTTCAAACTTTTCACAAAAATGGTTTCAAGTTGTTGTTTTTTAGCGTTGTTCTCAGAACGTCTCATTTTTGGCGATATCCCTGATTTTTCGAAATTAGGAAAAGTTCAAATTTTTTTGGCGCCTTCCTAGTATATACAATATTGATGATAAAGATTTTATCCTGAATAAAATATGTTACATAGATAGCGGTCTTGATTTAACGACATGTACAATTTTAGAAAATTTGAGTAGTTTTGGAGTAATTATACGTGAAACAATTTTTAAATAATATTAAATATTATTTTCCAAAATTACCTCCTATTTTTTTATTTAAATTTTCTCCTATCAAAAAAAGTAAACAAGTGGTACTCAACTAATTTGTGATTAACTTTCTGTATTTTCGAAAATTACACAAAAATTTCTTGTTGAAACTAGAAATTTGGAGGTAGAGATTTCTGTCTTAAACGAAACCTATTATAAAAAATTATATTTTTAAAACCGCCATATATCGTTTTTTTAAACACGAGTAGTTTTTGCGTAATTACTGCTTGGAATTAATGCAATTGGTATATAAAAATCTCAATAGCTGCTCCCCTCTTTTCTTCAATTGTTTTACCAACAACAGAATAAGGAATGTTATAGAAATAGAATTGTTGTTGAACTCTCTTTTTTGGAAATTTTGAAATTTAGAAACAATCCCAGAAAGTAAGGGTTGTAGCATTTTTAGCTTAGCATTGGCATTTCCAAATATTCCACTCAACGGTGTGGAGAATCGAATATAAACCTAATTCGTTTTATCTCGTGTGGAAGAAAATTTTTCATCATGACTATATCGTGTAATTCATAGGGGAAGGAAGTTACACTACTGCCAGATATACCATTGGGAAGGGATTACTCGACATTGTATCCAGAGTATATGGTGGTAGTGAACATTCGACAATTTCATCATTGGATAAAAACACCACAACCCGCATTTCCTTTCAATGTCAGTAAGTAGTTCTGCTGTAAATTCTTACTGATGCGTATGTAGGCTAGGAATCTTCTCTAAGTCTAGGGCTGATTTCCTGTCCGTTTTCTTCTGTTCCCTACATGTTCTGAAAAATATTATTATTATTATTATTATTATTATTATTATTATTATTATTATTATTATTATTATTATTGTTACATCTCATCTCTCTTTGATGATCTGATATTAATGCCTGAATTGATTATAATCATCCCCTACTGAATCGGCAGCGGTCATCGTTCACACTTGGACCTTTCAATATTTTCAGTAATAGAGGGCGTGTTGAAATTACTTGATCTCGTATGGCAAACATGAAGCGTGATCCATAAAAGCGTGATTTTATAGTAAATCCGCACTCCATGGTGTTTAACGTATTGGACAAGGGGTTCAGGCACAAAATAAACTATAGTAGACATAGTGAATCTTGAAATATCCAACGACATACAACCGACTCTATTAATAGTTATCATTTTTATTATCTCTATGTAATAGTTTAATATATATTAATATGAATTAAAATTATTATTATTATAAATATAATTTATATTAATTTAATAAATTTCTCTGTAATTATCTGCAACAGAATATTTCAGTCAAATCCATGCTATTCATTTAATACATTACGATAATTTTTTATATGACTCAAGTTATTTGTCTGAAAAAGGGATCTCCCGTTAATATTAATTATATAATTCAAATTTTATGATGATTATGCCTTTATTTCATTTAGCATGATATTAAACACAAAGACATTATAAGACAAACGATTTCAACACTGGGAAGCTTTGAATTCACTGAGTAATTCTTACGTTTTTAGCGTACGAACACACATCAACAAGACTTTTATTTTATAGCTTAGTGTATATCAATTGATTAATTTGCAATATATTTTATTCAACCATTCTTTCCTACTAGAAGAGAAGATATAAAACGAGTGTTGGACCCTAAATATCACGGTGAATACCACGCCGAATTTACATTTGGGCGTCTTCTGTGGATGGGTGCCATTGAAGAGTATCCAGGTTCCAAAACCTACTTACGCTTCAACCAAAGAAGTAAAGAATTGGAAATAGAAAGAGACGCCGAAGATAATGCTTCAGAGAAGTGCCTAGCATTGGACATTGCCTCTCTCGAAGGTACGGGATTAGTAAGGTAAGTGTAAATATATTTATCAAAAAGTAGGAACTTGGAAAAACGAAAGTTCTCGTATACAGTTACATCTAGTACACTCAAAAATGCACTGGATGATACACTCAAAACTTACTTTAATTTAAAATGGTAGATTCTAGAATTCATAAATGTTAAATTTAGGATATTTTTCAAGCAGTGACGAGTCATTCAGACTATTGTAATAAACCCCAGTGAAAAATACTTTTCTATCCCAGCGATTTTAGTTTCCCTGCGAGGTTTAGCATTGAGTTGTCTTACATCGGCTTCACTGCTCTGCGCGCGCACAATTTTACCATGAAAATGCAGCCAGAGAAAACCTGTGATGGGCCTTTTCTGAAGATGTTTTCCATTCCCGACTGTTGTACCCAAGTTGGCGGGTTGAACCCCGTCGAACCCCTGGATTTTTAAGGGCGAAAAAATCCTTGGTACGCCTTCCTTCGGAGGGGAAGTAAAGCCGGCTGGCCCATGTTAGTAGATTTACTTGCATGTAAAAGATCCTCAAGCCTAAATGACGCCTCTGAGCTAAATTCAAAAATCGCCTGTTTCTCGCCCAAGAAATACCTCCTTTCTCTGCTAGTTGGTGAAAGGAGCGTAGCGAAATTTGAGTGGTCAGACGGAAGAGCGGGCGTCATGGCTTGAGTCTCGCCACGTAAAATAAGGCATTAATTTAATTCAATTCAATTCAATTCAATTCTTTGCTGGCAGGGTGATGTCACGTTTGTCTTAATTTTGAAAACATGCAGAATTGAATAATTAATTTCATATTCTGCAAAAATATACATTTTATTGCCTTTTTTTCTTTTTTTAGTAATCAGTGAATACATCGTTTCTCCTTATACGTCGTATTACGTAGAGAGAGGTTTTTCAACGTAATCAAAATCTAAAAGGTGTTTTCTAAAAATTATTAATACGTCTCCAATTTCCGAACACAATAAACGATCCCGTACTGTACAAACTGATGCCAGAAAAATATACAATGGACACCATTATTAATATTGATTTAACCAAAGGTAACATACTGAGTAGCTTTTCTACAATTTCTGAATATTCTCGACGATCTCTCATTTCTTTACACGGTTGAAGGACAAATGTGTACTGGGGAGTCAAATCTCTCGTACGTTTTGGAGGAGAAAATGTGTTTTTTGCATCCAGTCGTACAATATATTATCTGGTTATTTAAATTGCATTTGTGGAATGAAATGAAAATAATAAAATTGTACTTCTATTGTCGTAAAAAGGCCGCATATTATTAATTTTTTTCTATCGTGAGGAAAGTACACTTCATTTCTGCAAAATTATGAGCAAGTCCCGAGGAGCATCAGCTATTGCCGACGTCAAACACATGGCTACGTTGAACGACGCACGGAAAAGAAGCAACGATTGTCTTAAGAGAAGCAGCCGATGGTTAAGGCACGAACCCTAGAATTAAATTAAAATTTTAAGCACGCGCGGTGTAATTATTTTTTTTTACGAGAGGAAGTAGTGGAGCATTTGCCGACTTCATGACTCGATCCTATTTGTCCCTGTCATTCTTTATGACATATTTTCAAAATCGCTTCTTGTATATTGAAAATAGTTTACGCAGTTTTTACTAATAATAAAGTGATAAAAAGCTGTTTCATAAACTAGACACTACAAAATTTACGCATCGACTGAATGTAATACTTATATGCTTAGATCTTATATATATTGAAACGGAAGAACGGTTTCGCATTGTAACAATTTCAAAATGATTTACTAATTCTAATTAAAACAAGTACTGCAATTGATCACAGCAGAACGACGCAGCCGCCGCCGCTTCAACCAACGGTCAAATCGGGGCTTGACGGCTAGGCGAGCGACGGTTGGCGACAGGGTGCGCAGAGAGCGTCGCGAGTGCAACACGGACGGGCCAGCTGCCTGCCCATCAAACAAGTTTATGCGTTGGTGTTAAGAACAGTTTGAATTTTGACTGTGTGCTGCTTAAGTAGAAGACTAGATTGATGGAAAGTTGATAATTCAAAAGGTGATTAAGGGAAGTGGAAGTGACGCACCAGGACACGAGATCAAAAACGTTAATACAAAGGAATTCGTATGGCCGGACGGACACGTGTTATATTTCCGCCCGGGTGTAATGCAGCAGCGGGCCGTACTGTGCAGACATTCGCGCGAATTTGAGAAGAATTGCTGAGACCGGAACTGCCGACGGGCCGCAATCGCACGTCGTGCGTGTTAATATATGTGAGACATTGCTTATACTGGCTGTGGGTGGACCCCGGCGAGTTCGTTGGTCGTTGCGTTGGGGATCAGCGGAGTCGATCGCCGAGGGAGAGCGAATTCCCGACGGACTTCGGGGCGGACCGAGGATTGCCGAAGACGCCGCCGCCGTTGCCACCGCGGCCCCTCTCGTCTCCAGCCAGCAGGTGGTTGTTAAAAGAGTCAAGGTAGCGTTGATTGTGCACTTATTACCAAAGGCCTTGCGCATTGCGTATTGTAAATAATCTTTGTAAAGAGTGTTTCTATTATTAAAATATTTAAATGCACAAAAGAATTTCTTATGATCATCTTCCAATGCAGCGCCAAACCCCTGGAAGCCCATTCACGAAAATGTACCCGTCCTTTGTATAATTTATTTTGTCGTGAGAGTACCCCTTCCCAGGTACGTCACAATATGCATCTTATTAACTAACAAATGATTACTAACTTAATTTTATTTCGATATAACAGGGAAGCCAGACACTGACTTCATATTTCTTTCTAATCGGCTGTTTGTTTTCTAGAGAAGTTGGATCCAGTGCACTCAAACGGAACATCTCACTAAGAAAAGTCTTCCATGTTTTAATCATAAAAAGCTAATATTTAATACAATTTAAAAATATTATACGAGTACTCTTCATTAATATGAAATACTAAAGTAATAGTAACACGAAATATATCACCAAATTAATTCGGAATTTATGTTCCAGGAGGAATTGCAGCGAACATCTGCCAATGATGTGTTACGTGCAAAGCAAGTACATAGCTCAGGCCTACAATGCGTCAGCACCCGAAGCATGTAACAAGAGCAACGCTCTGTCTCTTCTACCGCTAACTGGCTGCTACGTGATTAACAAAGGATGTTATAATTACTCTGTGATTGTTCGGGAACAATGGTTCTTCCACAACCTCACAAACGTTAGGAGTGATATACCTGTGGTGATCCTCCAAACGAATTCAGATCGTGGAAAATTCGTGAAAGAAAATGAGACGGTAAGATCACTTGCGTTCGTGACGGAGAACACAAAAACGATAATTTCAATTTGACATTCAACATGTCTTATTGTATCAATATGATATGAAGCAGGTCTCTGCGATGCAGTAGACATGTGACTAGGGAATTGTTCTGGCAGATGGCAATTGCTTAACAATAATATGCACTGGAAGGAGCGGGGTGATTCCCCATTTCTTTCCTGATCGGAGAACGATGGAGGAGACATTTTGCTACCCCTTTCATGTGTAGCATGTTTTGATTTTTGGACTTTTTGCCAGCTTTCCCCTCCTCTGACCCCAGTGTACGCGGCCGCGAACAACTGTCTTGGGAGACCCGCCCCGCTCGGCGCAGCCGAAGCGAACAGTCGCCTGAGTGATACCGTCCCGAAGCCCCTCGTCCCTCACACGACAACGCTATCTGCGTGTGCCGCACTCCCTCATGAATATACAGGATGCCCAGGGAGGAAACAACGAAACTTCTTAATAAGGTCTTACGACAATTTTAAGCATATTTTGTGTAATAAATTCGTTCGATATTTCGAATGGCTCAGCACGCCAATTTACACAATTATATGACTTCTATATTTGTGTTCATTTTTCTTTTAAAAATTCATTAGTTTTACATAAACAAATTCCATGTTTTTGGAGTGTTTATAAGATGCGAATTTTAGCTTAGAAAGTACTATTTGATTGTTTTCAACCAACATTTGAGTGTTATTTGTGACTCAGCCATTGGAAATATTGGGAGTGTTTATATGTTTCTAAGATGCGAATTTTGGCTTACAAAGTACTATTTGAGTGTTACCAACCAACATTTGACTGTTATTTGTGGCTCAGACATTGGAAATATTGAAGACGTTTATTCGACACAATGCACTTAAAATTGCTTTAAGAGCTTATTTGCTAAGTTTCGTTGTTTCCTCCCTGGACACCTGTATATTCGCGGGTCACTTGGTTACCCTCAACTCCTGGCAAATTTTTGTGGTCTTCTGGGCAGCCCCATGACGCCCGTTCATTTTGGACTCGCCTCTGGAGCTTATAGTTCCTACCTTGTGGAGTACCTTCGTTTGGGAATTTTCCTGCATCCAAATGTAGCTTTGCTTACGACACGGGTTTTGTTCGTGGTGGCAGCCACTCCCCGAGCCACAACGCCCTCCCAATGCTTCCGGGCGCCCAACCCGTCACACCACGCCGCCATAATATTTATGTAGTGTAGATACTGAACGAAAAGAATAAGTGAATTCGGCTGTACAGAAAACAGTTTCTGTACACACTACACCAGTTACAACAGTTCAACTTTCCACATATACTGTTAGTATAACATATTTTTATTTTCTCATGTATTGTTCGCATATTTGCCGGGCACAGATAATGAATGGATAGATCTTGTTCCTATTTGTAGATAATTAGCCCCTAACAATTTTTCGTGATCAAAGTCCGTTTTGTGGGTCCTTGACACGGAAAAATTGATGACAATCATGTGTTTTTCTATCCATGTTCAACGCTAGCTACAAAGCCGTTCAAACGATTTTCTCCAAAATTGATATTCCCAGAACAATCTAAACGAACACAAGGCCCAGAGAGTTGGAAACATGTATTTTGATTTGGCCGCCTCAACATTTTTATTTTTTTCAAAAATTGCTTAAAATATTTGAATAAAACTTGAACCTTGAAAAGTGTACAGAATGCTTAAAAGAATGACATACTCGTAACCCTCTTTTGTTGATATCTCTCATTTTTCGAAAATTGCAAAAGGCATTTTCGGCTTCTACCAAAAACTATTGTATTGAATATAAACTTTTTTCTTAATAACTGTGTTTAGCAAAAATCTTGAAATTAAGCCATACGCAATTTTTCGAAAATATTGCAAGTAATTTTTGCGCAATTTTGAATCACGTATAGACAATTATTACAATTTAAAAAAATTGTTAAATTCTTTTTCTTTAATTTTTCCCGTGTGTAGCAAAGTTTTCCCGTGTGTCATTACATTGCCATTTCCCGTTTTTTGCGCGTGATATCAAGCTGATTTGCAACAATAATCTCCCCCGACATGATAGTTTGAAATTTTGAGAATTCCTTCTCATCGTTGGGAGTTGTTACAACTGTATGAAACAGTATTAAGTGTAGAATTTGGAGCAGGTTTTGCGAAAAAGCTTTTCTATAAATTACATTTACTTCAAGTACAAATTACGCAAAACTACTAATTTTGCAAAAAAACGTTTACGACCTTTTTAAGATGCAATTTTTTAGATACGATTTTAAGGCACACTCTTTATCTTCAATTTTGTAATTTTGAATTGTAAAGTCTTTCGAAAAAAAAAAACAACCAGAAATGAGAGTAGATTTTTTTCCGTTTATTGATAGATTGTAGAGGACAATTTAGAGAAAAACTTTAAACAACTTTTGAGAAAAAATTGTTTAAAAAAGTTAAAAAAAATTGACAAAACCTTATTCAATATTACGCCACTCCCCCCCCCATGTTTTCGAAAGATTGCACATGACCCCACTTCACGATCTGTATTTAAAGAATTTCATTTAGGAAACAATCTATATCATCAATATAGTACATCAAATCAGGAATTTCAACGAAAATTATGCCTTACCCATTCTCTCAAGCGTTCTTTATGTCATTCGAGAACAAAGTTTTTAAAAAAATGTGGCTTCACGTATAATACACCCGAAAAACACAATATCGTTTGAAACTCAAGAAGGCTTCGAGTTCATTCAAGTCTATTGGTGAATATCAATTTTGGAGAATATCGGCTAAATGGTTTAGTCGCTAGCTACTAAAGACGGACCGACAGACGGACAAACGTTTTGCCGTCAATCGGTTTTTGGTACGAAGGATCCGCAAAACATGTTTATGACTAAACAATGAGTTAGAGGAAGTAGTTACTATATATAGGAACAAGTTTTACGCACTTTATCGTTACCAGAGCCCAGCAATAAAATATTTCTGCCGTTTACCAACTTACAATTGCAATACTTACGAAGTAAGTGCGAGAAAGTAAAATCGGTAAAATGTCTGTCTGCCTGTCAATCTGTGATGAGGGTTAGCGTCTGAACCGTTCATACGATTTTCTTCAAATTTGATACTCTCCTATCGATCTCAACCGTCTCAAAACATCGCGCGTGTTAAACAGTTAGGGATATTGTTTTGAAGGTTTTTTAAAAATTTGTTAAGGGGGGATTTACATGAAACCTCATCGTTTTCAAAAAGGTTTTCCAAATGATTCCGTCTGTCTGTTTGCCCGAATCCTCTGTCAGTGGTCACCCCAGCGCCGATACCGTTAAGGCATTTTCTTCGGAATTGACATCCTCCGATCGATGTAAAGGAACTCACGGCTTTGCAAGTTTAAAAAGGATATTTTGATTCTTGAGGGCACTTTACATGAATCCTCAACATTACTTTAAAAAATTGCTCAAAATGGTTCCTAATTTTTTTATTAAACTTTCTCTTCGGGTAATGTTAAGGACGATTGCAAAAGTGGCCTACGCATAATTTTCTTTCTTATTAAGAAACATTACGTTTCTGAGTAAGTTCAAAGAGTGTACACAATTCGTATGAATTATGTTTGTTCACGATAAATTTTTATTTATTTTGTACAATAATAAGCTTACCCTTTTTCGAGCTTAGGACGATTAACGGTAACAATCACTGGTCAAAATTGCTACAGACTTACTAAAACTTTAACACACGCTCTTGGAAAGAGTGTTCAAATACAAACCGAAGTTAAAAAGAACATGAAATTTAAGAGAAATTGAAGTTGCAACTACTCCATATTTGGAAGAGTTTTTTTTAAAACGAGGAGCTCGGTAAAATATACAAACGTAACTCAATAATATGTACTTTCAACTTTGAAATAATTTTCAAGTGTTGTGTTTTATTTCTTCTTTTTATGAATTTTATTGTGAAGTCTGTTTGTTGCAGTGTTTACTTAATCAATATTACTGCAATTGTTGTCAGAAACGAGCCCAACCTTCTCCATTAGAAGATAAATTCAACATTCACGGGTTTAACTATTTCGCTATGATTTGAAGAAACCTAACCTTCTGGAATTTTGAAAAATCTCAGTACAATTTTATTTGAAAAAAAAAACAACAACTAGAAACTGAACGTGCAAGATACACGACGCTAGTGTGCATTAAAATAATATAGTTATAACTATTATCTTCTGCTAATATTTCAGACCATTTTGTTTGGCATTTGCCCATATTCCTATAATTCATGTTTTCTGTTTCTATATTTGTGACTGTATTTGGGAGCAACTTTGATGAGAAGTATTGACAACCCAGTTAGCAACGTTTTGTCTGTCATTTCGGCCTTCATTTGAGCTATTAGATACATTCTCACGTCCAACTTAATGATCCCACTCTTTTGCATTACGTAAAACATGTAAAATAATTAAAATAATGAAATAAATTATATAAATTAAATAAACAAAATAAATAAAATATTCAAAATAAATACAAAATATATGAGAAATAAAATAAATATCTTAATACGAAACACCACACTAGCGTACGGTCACCTGGTAACATTTAACATAACGTTCCCAACATCTCCGACATCACCACACAGCGAGATATATGTAGATACTGTTTTAATTGACTTACCCTCAAAAATCTTGAGAATGGAGGTATATTTGCCAGGTATTTCGTTTATTCAAACCGGGTTTCTGTGATTCTCCGCCGCCACTGCTTTCTTCTAGAAACAAACTAATTATAAATAATCCAATCTAAAAGTAAAATATGCTATGCTATGCTAAAATATTACATTTTCATTTTTCTTCCTTATTTTCAGCTCGTAAATGCCACTACTCTTTGTTACATTGGGCATGGTTCCTCAAGAAGTATAAAATTACGTCTAAAAAGGTAAGTAATATTTTTTATATTTTTTGCTGAAATGTTATTTGTTTTTTCCAAACACTCTTCAAAGATACGTTAGATGAATAAAATCTATGTCATTGCCATTCATAAAACCTTCCGAAAGAAGTATTTCAGAACTGCCTAGGAACCTTCTAAGAATATTGCTATGCTAGTTAATGCTAGGAGAATTATAGATAAAACTCTCCCATAGCTTTACAACCCATTTTGAGAGATCTGACAAAACATAATCACCGTAAAGCACTACATAAAACAGACTTTGAATGTGTATTTTATTACTAATTAACTATGAAAAATTAACGTTTTACCATTCATCTTTTAAAAGAAAAGAAGGTTTTGACAACTTCTCATCGAAACTCTTTATTTTACAAATCTCCGACTATCCATAACAGATCCTTTCACATAATTCTTCGAAACAAAAACTGGTCTTGCAAATCTTAAAAAATATTCTCTCACTATTTCTACTTTCTCGCACTTACTAACGTAAGAAGAAAAAGTATTGTAATCGTGCGCTGGAAAACGGCGAATTTGCAACACAAAAACTCTTATTGCCGGGCCCTGGTAAGGAAAAAGTCGATAAATCAAGTTGCTAAATAGAGAAAAAAAATCATCTAACCCGTGGTGTAGCCAGAATATATGTTTTGTGCGTCCATGATACCCAAAAATCACTTGGCAGCTAAACGTCCGTCCGTTTGTCTGTGCACAACGCTTGCACATAAATCGTTCAGCCGATTTTCTCGAAAACTGATGTTCCCCAAAAATTCTGGTTGATGTCGCAGCGCCATGAATTTCAAACCGATATGTTAATGTTGTGGCCACTTTATATGAAGCTCCTCGAACATTTTCAAAAGAATAGCTTTTTTGATTAAAGTGTGTTGTTGAATATTACAAAGATATATTAAGAGAATAATCCAGGTCTCATTTTCGCTGGAACCCACTATTTTTCGAAACTTGCAAAAAAAACCTACAAATTCGAAGCTCCGTAAATATGCTCATGTACAATTTTTTGAAGAAAAAAATAAGTCGTTTATTGTGTAATTTGCGATTGAAATTACAACCTTTTCTAAAAAAACGCTCCAAAGTTTTTTATTAAATTTTCTTTACATATGAAATAAGGTACGGTAAAAATATGGTGCTAGTCTCGTTTTCAATTATTGCTTCATTGTTTCGGAAATTTCAAAAAAAATTCAAAACTACAAAATTGAAGATAGAGATTTTCCCTCAGGCAAGGCATAAGTATGTTGCACAAAATTAGTACCTAAAAAATGGCCAGATACATTTTTTAAAGCGATAGTTTTTGCGTAATTTCTGCTTGAAATTAATGAAATATACGAAGCGTATTCGGAAAGTAAGTCCAGATTCATTCTAGCGTCGTCGCTGGGTGTAGTGGGGGGCCTGCGCATTCAATCTAGTTTTTCCTGATCACTGGCCTTAAATTGTCGCCATTTTGGTTGCTCTATGTTGTGTTTTCAGTTTGCTGTACACATTTAAGCTGTTTAAGACAATTGGTTGTCCCATCGACTGTGAGATTCGTGCCGTGATTAAAATTTTGAACGCAAAGAACGTTTAACTGACCGAAATGTATCGTCAAGTTAAAGACGTTCACGTTGAAGACGCGGTAACTGATGGAATGGTGAGCAGGTGTGTAAGGATGTTAATGAAGGCCGAACAAATGTCCACGATGAGGCTCGGAGTAGTCGGCCTTCTTCTGTCGCACGAAACATGGATTCTGCCTGCACCACGTGTTAGAGGATTTTTGAGAATTTAGCAACTGGATTTATCCAACTTTTGTTTCCATGTCCCGGCAATAAGAGTGTTTCTGTCCAAAAATTCACCGTTCACGCAACGTTCGCTCGAAGGCGTAAGCGCTAGCCGCAAAGTAATAGCTGCACTGGCGCTAGGGCGTCGGGCGCGCTGCGCTTGTGGGTGGGCAACCCCGGGCGTGCGGAGTGGCCGCCGGTGTGCGTGGGCGGAGAAGTGCACCACACGCGCGGCGCAGACCCTGGAGCGCTGTTGGTCACCCCACGCAACACAACAAGCCCTGGGCTAGCACGCCCCATTTGGTGCTACACCAAAGACATCATCACGGACGCCATCGTCGTGTCCAACAGGTCAGAACAGAAGCATATATGATATTAACGTATATTACTGAATACGTTAAAAAAAATTTTTATTGGACTCGCTAACGTTCACATTTATTCATTAATTTTAATGTAATAATTATCTTTTATTTTTTTATATGGTGAGTCTCGGATATGTTGTTTTATATCGTTGTATCGATGTTATTTTATGTTATGTCACTGTTGATACGACATTATAATTGTATAATTTTTTTGTGTACTATAACGTCAGTAACTTGTCATTTATGTTCACTAAAAATGTCCCTGATATATTCCTAGTAGCCTGAATATGAGCACTATCATAATCCCTCAAAACGTCGCAAAAACTTTGGGAATGAAGAGTGAAAACTTCAAATTTTATATATTTCTAATTTTATTTCAAAATTTTGAAAATAACCCGTGTCTTAAAAAATCTCTGCAGCCAAACTATCTTCTGTTATTATTTCTGAATGTTATGTTTACTTTTATGACTAGGTAAACCGTTGATTATTTCATTTTCTTCGTCACAATTTTATGAGATTTGATTGATTTAAGAGAATTTTATGTTCTTCTGAAATTTCATATCCCACGGACTTACTATCACCATCAAAGTTAAAGGAAGTAATACTAACTCATTTACTCTCTTTGTGTATTTGTATTTTTTCTCTGTACGAGTACAATAAATTTATAGGGAATTATAATTAAAATTTTAAAATTATTTTCAACCCAATTGGAAATTTTGGTTATAAGGAATAAAGCTGACTGTGACAAGGTTTCATTAAAGAACTTCTTTGAAACAAGTTTTCCTTGAACAAATTTGTTAGGTAACTCTCTACCTCAAAATGTTGAAATACCGTGAAATTTCATATTTTTCAATTTTAATTGAGCCGTATTAATTTTATTGTCTTTTAAATGCTTCAAACCATTACATTCTACGTCTCAGTTTTTCATGAAAACAAATTCAAGCAAGTGTCAACTGTCAAGCACTTACAGAGTGAACTTCATATGCATTTTCCCAAATTAACAATTTTTAGCAGTCATTTATGTCAAACATATTTGAATTGAATTTGAGTTAATGCCTTATTTTATGTGGCGAGACTCAGGCCATCAGGCCCGCTCTTCCGTCTGACCACGCAAATTTCGCTACGCTCCTTTCACCAACTGACAGGGAAAGGAGGTATTCCTTGGGCGAGAAACAGGCGATTTGAATTTTAGCTCAGTGGCGCCATTGAGGCTTGATGATCTTTTACATGCAAGTAATTCTTCTAACATGGGACAGCCGGCTTTACGTCCCATCCAAAGGAATACGTACGATGGATTTTTTCGCCCTCAAAAAGCCACGGCTTCGATAGGGTATGAACCCACCAACTTGGATATAACAGTCCGATTCTATCGTAACTCTTAACTATAAAATATAATACCATAATTTTGTTTGCAGCATGTAACCCATGATTTGTTCTAGTGTATGAGCTAGAATAGTTAATGTGTTACTAAAAGTTTCAGTTATATGAACTGAAATGTCCGGAATAAATTTGTAAACAATTATATTTTCTCTATTAATCAAATCCTGTTCCTTTTTATTCTCACAGCACCTTAATCATTCTAGCTACTTCACTTCAATAGACAATTGTGATTATTTTAAAAAAAAGAATGATCAAAATACGTCAATTTGTTGGAGTAATGCTGTTTGAAGTAAAACACTACATTTTGGCCACACGAGATCAAGAAGTAAATTTTTTAAAACGACTTTTTATGCGTACCTCCATTACTCGTATTTACTGCTGATAACAAATCTTCAATTAAGAAAAAATGCATTCCAAAACAATCACATTTTGTTTACATACAATTCTTTGAAACTTACATTAGTATAGTCGAACTACAAAACTCAAAACATTCCGACATTGTTCTGACATTCGTTATCCGGTTATCAAAATAGCTGAAGTACATGAGTAAATTAGAAGAAAAATTATATAAATTGATCAAATGAAAATATTTTTTTACAGAGTAACAATTCCAGGAAATATAAATGATGAGATCTCTAACACCTGCCCAGACACAACCAGCCCTGCAGGTAAGAAAAGTTTGGAAATTTTCCTCTTTCAAGAAATGTGGATCAGGAATTTGCCCATTTACATGCTGGCCCTTTTAAATCGTTTCTATATGCAGAATCTTAGCCACAGCTTAAAATGATGATTATTTCATTTTTTAGACATTCCCACCCTCTGTTCCCCGTTTGGTTGATTGATTTAGTGATTTATGCTTAAGTCATTAGTCCTGTAAGTGTGGTGCTTTTTCATCGGGAGGTGGCAGTGATTTTCCCTCGCTGGATTACGAGATCTTGCGCAGATCTACGAACGGCTAGCGTTTTTTTTTTCACAACCAGGTGTCTCTCACCAGAGCAGCACCGCCCCAGCTGAGACAAGCTCTAAGCATCCTTGTGTTCAAGGATAATGCCGGAGTTGTGCGTTAACAAATGGGCAACGGACAGCACGCGATCTTTCCTTTTTAACATTACCACATCATCTCCCCTTATACACACACATACCCACTGTCATACAGGGTGGGAGAAATTTCGGGAGCTTAAAGCTTGTTCTAGCTGGAGTGGAGAAATATCTAGAGAGAGAAACTCCCATAAGCCGACATGTAGTTCGGTACAGTATTTCACGTTTCAGGGGAAACAATCACTGTCACCTCCTGATAAATAACCAAGAACTACACTCACTGAAATAAATAGTCAAAGCTAAATGAAGCTGAAGATGGTTCGCACAGATTCAATATTAATTTACTCGAATGCTCAAATTGTCGTAAACTTAAATGCTCTCCGAGTTAGGTCTGAAGAATTAGGTAGTAAATGTAAATGTTTAACGGACTTCGTAAATGTTTAATGGCCAGTGTATATCTGGGCTGTGATATTTGTTAACGAATTTAAAATATACCAAAGAAAATGTTCAATATCTAATTGAAAAGCCTTCATATTCACAGGTCCTCCGCCAGGAACAACCATCAATCATAACGCATCATGTCTGAATTGTTTTCGAGAAGCACTACATCCTTGCGTTCGAGATTTCGACAATTGCACATCATGTACGGAGGAGCATTGTGGACCATTTGGCATAAACATTTCTCTTTGGAGACATGTTCACACCAAGGATGGAAATTTTGAAGGTATTAAATCTGTTTTTCTCTTTCTCTCCCCTTCTCTCTCTCTTTCTCTCCCCTTCTCTCTCTC